TGGTATAAATGCCTGCAGGCAAGCACAAGGTCCTGAGTTTGATCCCTGGTACCACACACACACACACACACACACACACACACACACACACACACAAGCTAAAGTTATTAGTATTTAAGAATTGTGGGGCTAGGGATATAGCTCAGTGGCTTAAGCACCTACCTAGAAAGCACAAGGTCCTGAGTTCAATCCCCAGTACCAAAAAAAGGAACTGTACTAAGATCTTTATGAGTTGAATACAATTATAAGAACTTAAATGTGTAAGGAGTATTATTGTCTCTGAAGTATAGATGAAGGAACTAAAACTGGGGGGAAAAAAAAAAAACCACTTAGCCACCTTAGGCCAGGGAGATGGCTCAGTAGAATAAGCGCTTCCCTGGCAAGCACAAGGGGCTGAGTTCAATCCCCATTTCCTCAAAAAATAAATAAATAAATAAATAACACTTAGGAACTAAAACTAGAGATACTGGACTGCTCAAGGCTACATGACTAATAAACAGGAAAAGCTACCAAGGGCCTACTCTTAATCATTACATGAACCACAACCTCCCACGTGTTTGGTTAACTTCAGTTAGACCACAGGAAAAAGCTAAAATAGATGCAAAATTCTTACATGAATAGATGATTGCTTCTAAAAATGTTTGTAATTTCTTTCATTAAGTGGCACAGCCATGCTTTCCAAAGTGAGGCTTCTGATATTCCGAAGTAATGTTTCCAAAGTTTCATTTCCATCGAACTCATTCTTTCCACCGTTAAGGGATGAGTGGAGAGATGGGAAGAAGAGAAGCATTAGGAAGGGCTTGGCACCTGGCACCTAGAAAGACCCACATGTGAACCCCGGAAGTCCCTGGGCTCAGCGTGCATTTATCAGCTGTGTGACCATGGCACTGTTCATACCCTCTTTGAGGTTCATTTTTCTCTTCTTTAAAGCGAGGGTAACAGCCACCTTGCAGAGTCGTGAGGAAGAAATGTGACAAGGTCTTCCCGTTCTAGGTAACTCCGTCCCTCTCAGCCACTAACTTACATCTGTGACCATAGCTAAAAAATGTTTAAGAAAATGTTCTTAATATAGGATTACATTTGTTCAATCGTTCTTGTATTTGCTGATGTATATTTCTCTTCAGAGGCCCATTGCTGCCCCACGCAGGCTAAACTGTCACTAACTCTAACAGGAACTACCCTAACAGGAATTGAGGAAGATTTACTGTATTCGGTTCTTTGGAGTGCAGTGAGGACGCCGCTGTTAGCCCATGGGTCCTACCTGAGTTTGGGTTTGAGAATGCTCCCCACCGTAAAACTTTTCATGTCTCACTGTATTCACTGGACAGAGCACTGAAGCGGGAGCCAGAACAGCTAGATTCTGATCCCAACTGTCCTTTATTTTCTCCGTGTCCTCTGCAAGTCATTCCTGCCCTCTGAGCCTCGGTTTCCTCCTCTGCCACTGGAGAACAAGGAGAAAAATGATCCTTCAGGGGCCTTGAAGCTTTCATGTTCTGAAACGTCTGTGCCCAAGAAGACCTTAGCAGTGACACAGGATCTCAGCATTTATAGTGTTTTCTGATCTGTAAATAATAATAAATAATAAGGGAAAATAATAATAAATGAGTCAATATATGCCCAGCCCAACTCCACCACTCTGGTCACCAGGTGGGTACTCTCTTGCCTCTCCCTGAAGGACTCTGTCCAAAGGAATCTCCTCAATAAAAAGCACCCTGTGAAAAACACCCTTCCATGGGTGAGAGAAGGAACATAAATTCAGTTAGAACAGAGTTCTAACTCTGTTTACAAGAAGAAACTTTGAAAAACTAATAATCAAGACGCAGTGGCTCTAACCCTGTCCTATCGCCCCACCTCACTCCAAAGCAGCTACTTCCTGGTCTCTGGGGAAGACCCCAACCTAGGAGGTGAAGCTGAGGATGCCTACAGAGGAAGAGGTATTGTTACCCTGGTACTTTTCACAGAGGGGATGAGCTCACTCTAGTTGGGAGGGCAGTGAGTAGCCTGGAATTTCCAGAGGCAATTTCAGTTTCCAAGCTATTTCAGATTTAGTCCTCATTTTGTACAATTTCAGTCAGTGCTTGCCTGCTTTTTCAGAAACTCCCCTTGGAGGGGCGCTCTCTCCTATTGGCCCTGGCTCCCTATAAAAGGCCAGGTCAAGCTGCAGAAGGTCCTTGCTGAGTGAGGATCTTGAGACACCACCCAGCTGCCACAACCCCTGCCTGCCAGTACCATGAAGCTCTCTGCAGCCGCCCTCTCTGTCATCCTCGCCGTTGCTGCCCTTTGTGCTCCTGCATCTGCCTCTCTATGTAAGTTCAGGTCCTGGCACCCCCAGCCCATGCAGCCAGTTGACCTACTGCCTAGAATGCCCAACCCATCCTGCTGGCTCAGACTTCACCGAACCCCATTCTTTACCTTCAGATGGACTGTTTTACCTAAATGTCCTATTGATCCTGATAAACCTCTAAGCTGCTTTACGTCAGGGACCCCACACACACCTCAACTTTTTTCTGGGTCTCCCAGGTCCATCCTCCTGAACCCTGCAGGCATTCACTGAGTGGGGGCTGTGGCTGGAGATATTAATAAACTTGAAAAGTAACTGATCCATCCAGGTCACCAGCAGGGTTTCTAAACACTTAACGAAACCTTCCTAACATGATCTTATTCTCTGAGATCATAGATGGAAAACATGGGACTTATGAACACAAAAGCTAATGAAATGCCTACTAGAGATCAGGCTTCATGCCGGATGCTCTACTTATGTCACCTTATTTAACACAGCTATTCTTTGAGTAACTGTTTTCAACTCACAGATGAGGAAACAGAGGTGCAGAGAGGTTTGGTAATTTATAAATAAGGATAGCTGAGGGTGGTGGCACTCAAATCAGTTCTGGCTAGGAAGAGGTAACTGATGCTTCCAGTGGCTTCTTGACTGACCAACAAATGTGTCCCTGTTCAGTTCCCCCTCACTCCTGGAGGCAGTGAGGCCCCACCTAGGCTCCTAGCTAAGCCATGGCGCCTCAGTTATGGAAGCCTCCTCACAGCCTCCCCTGGGTCACAACGAAGCCAAGTTTTGGATCCACTGGGGAGCAAAAGTGAGCACAGAGAACCCAGGACAGGGAAGGAGGAGGCCCAGGGCAGCCTGAGAGCCGGGGACAGGGTGTTGTGGTGTACAGGGAAGGATACAAGCCTAGCTCAGGGATTAGAGGGGAGGTTGGGGAGATTCCCTCAGGCATCTGTTGGAATCACCACTCCGCCATGGTGTGCCCAAGGTGAAGTGACTTTACCACTCTGTGCCTCTGTTTCTGCCAATGTGAATAGAAGTCTTCTCAAGATACATCATATAAAGTACCCAGTACAGCACCCAGTGTCGCTGGCACTAAATAGAGATCTCCTTCCTTTTATTTTCTTCTCCCAGATGCCTCGGACACCACTCCTTGCTGCTTTGCCTACATCTCCCGGCCACTGCCCCGCACCCACATCAAGGAGTATTTCTATACCAGCAGCAAATGCTCCAACCTAGCGGTCGTGTGAGTCTCAGCCCCGTGGATTCCTGGGGTAGGGGGTCATCTCAGGCCTTCCACAGGAGTCCTCTGACAAGGAGCCCCACCCACTCCTATCTCTTCTCCAGCTACTTAAATCACTACAACTCTTCCATGCCATGCTGGCCATTGAAACCAGGCGTGGCGATACACGCCTGTAATCCCAGCACTGGAGAGGCTGAGACAGGAGGATCACTATAAGTCTTTTCTATGTAGCAAAATCCTATACCAAAGAAATAAAGAAAGAAAAGATAAAAAATAATTCTTAAAAAAAATTTCACATTTGCAAAATTATAGGTATTCAAAGATGAACTTGGGTCTTCATGAATCACTCAAGGTATGGTAGTAATATTTTCTTTTTGCAAAATAAAATACTTAATTTAGACACAGCATCTCTGGGAAAGTGGTAATATTTAGCATTACTTTTTTTTTCAGTACTAGAAATTGAACCCATAGCCTGTTCATTGAGGCATCCCCAGTGCCCTCCCCTCCCCCCTCCTCTCTCACTTTGAGACAAATTCTTACTAAATCACTAAGCTGCCCAGTCTGAGCTTGAACATGCCATCCTCCTTTCTCAGCCTCTCAGAGTTCTGGTTTTATAGGCATGCACCACCACACCTAGCCTACTAATTTCATTTCTAGAAATAAGTATTTCTAAAAGAAAATACCCTCCCCCAAGCACATTATGGGGAGACAGAGATGGATAAAACCACCATTCCTTTCACAGTCTAATAGGAGGAATAAGGCAGACACAGCAATGACTAGAGTACCCTGAAAAAGAACATTATGAAAGGAAGAGAAAGAACACATCCAATTTCAGGGGTGAGAAGAGGGGATTTAGAAAAGGTTGATGCAGAAGGTGCTTTGCAACAGAGATTTGAACTGGCAGAGAAAAGCCTGTGGGTGGGGTTCATCAAGCAGAGGAGTCTACTTTGGTTTGTGTAGAACCTCTATGCAGGGAAGCACAGAGGGCTTTGCAAGAAAATTCAGCAAAAGCACTTAGTTGTCAAGGATAACATAAGGTGGAACAAGAAAACCCTACAGGACGGCAGTCCAAGGAAGAGGCCGCCACTGTGGCCCTGTGCATAGGACTGGGGGCTCAGTGTGCCTGGAGGAAAGGAGAGACAAGAGTGAGGCATCTTGAGAGGTGGGGTTCACCAGAGCAGGCTTCAGGCAACATGGCTGCAGAAGCGTGAAACCTCGTGAACCTGAGGAAGAACTGTGTTTATAGGGGAGAAGCCAGATCAAGAGCCAGAGGCCTGCCCAGGCTGCTTAAGGAGATGCTTCTCATAAAAGAGGAGGATTTTATTAAGAAATAAAAAAAAAAAAGAGGAGAAAGAGGAGGAGAAGGAGGAGGAAGAGGAGGAGGAGGAAGCCACAAAGGTGCCCCCGAAACAATCCTGTGGAAATGACATTTTCTTGTACGAGGAAGGGCCTTCCAGCAATAAAGATGCAGTGTTGCTCTAGAGTTAGTGGCCCTGTAGAGCTCCAGCTATACTACTGAGTAAGCTTCGGCTCCTCACTCATCCTCTCTGAGCCTCAATTTCCTCATCCAAAATTGGGTAACAGAAGTACTTCCCTCACTGGGCCACAGAGGGGAAAACAAAATGCTTAGATTATTCCTTGGAGTATATTAGGTGTGAAATAAATGTTAATTTATTATCATCATATAAACATCTTATTATATACATCAAAGTGGTAGGCGAAACTGGAAGATAAATAACATTCATATATTTATTCACTCATAAACATCCATTAAGCATGCTTACCAGGTTTGGGTCCAGAGAATTGGGGAAAAAAACACAGAAAAGTGAAAAGGAAAAGTGGCATGGCCGCTCACAGCTGTAATCCCTGCGCTCTGGGAGGCTGAGCTGAGCCAGGATCGCAAGTTTGAGGTCTTCCTGAAACTCTGTGGGGACTCTGTCTCAAAAATCCAAGAGAGAGGGAGGAGAGAGAGAGAGAGAGAGAGAGAGAGAGAGAGAGAGAGAGACACAGACACAGACAGAATGAAGGAGAGAGGGAGGGAGAGATTGACTTGAGAGGGAGAAACTTGAGCCCCTAATCATGAGAGGGTAGAAAGAGAGAATTCAGGCAGGTGAGAAGGAAGGTTCGCAAGGAGTTTCTGCCCTCTGGTACCGTACACTGCAAGGTGGAGGAAATGGAGGCCAGAGCGATCAGGCGTTGGTTTCCTGGACTTTGACTTCCTGGTTTTAGACCAAGGCTGCTGAGGAGACAGTACAGCCACTCTTAGGATTTCCTACTCCTGGCTGAACAAGGACAAAGTCTACATCAGAAGCTCCTACAGCCTTCCAAATAAAAAATTTTTACAAAACACTAGGAGGCACCAGAGTCCTTCTGATCCCTTTCTCATCTCTGCATGCTGTGGTGGGAAAGAGATAGTTCTCACAGGTCTGAGAAGCCTCCAAAAGTGAAAGCAGGGGCCAGGCAGTGCAAGGGCCAGAATTCAATCCCTGGTGAGAGAGAGAGAGAGAGAGAGAGAGAGAGAGAGAGAGAGAGAGAGAGAGAGA